GGGAGGAGACACAGAAAGACAAACTATACACAGGAGGATCCATTCCCACCAATCTTAACGGCGTAGTAAGACATCCCCTTGTGGAAACTCCAGGTCAGAAACCATACATATATTTTAAAGCTTTATAACAACTGGTGTTTTTAAAACCCCAAAACATTATGTTGATAAACTATTCTGATAAATGCCTCTCCTTCTGAAATAAAGGTTTGAACACATACAAAATCCTGTCTCGTGCAGGAAATAAAATACATACACAAAAGGAGGAGGGCCAGGAGTCCAATCCCCGAAACAGGCGATTTCGTAAAAAAGACTTCCCTGTATAAAGAAATTAATATGGCTATTTTATAACTTTATTTGAGATAAAAACCAACAACAAAAAAAACCAAATTTTTTTTTGGGAAAAAAATTCTGACAATACTCCGTTTTTTAAAATTAACAATGGATTCAATTCCACAAACCTTAAAAGAAATGTTTCTAGATTTCAGTGCTAATTAAAATCATATACATGCTATATAACGCTATGTCCACATCTATAAAAAATGACTTACTGATGAAGAACACTTACTGAATAATTTTCCAAAGGTTTCCCTTTTTGACTTTTCAGCTTCATACAATCGCTTTCCATCTTTGACTAAAGCGCCAGCCCACTGAAAGGAGGGAAGCTGGTATTAGTATCACACACCAATTCGTTACGACTCCTACCAATTAATCAGAACTCGCATACCTCCCTGTAGTGTCTTATGAACATCTTTCTCCTCACAACTTCAACAACAGCTAAGCAGTACATCTGGGGGACTGTACTCAGGGCTTCCACAATTCTGACTCTTTCTAGCAGCTCTATTACGAGGCGAAGCAAAGCCTGCAATTTCTCTCCATCTTGGTCAGCATGAAGCATTACAAAGCAACACCACCTATAGGATGAAGTTGACATACAAACACTATAAAAATAACCCAAAATAATCAATCAAGTATTTCAATACAATGGTAAGAGAAAACTACTGCACCACTCAGGAGAAATTAAATGACATCAACTCTAAACATCCTAAATTCGATGTAACAGAATCACTCACTTCAGCCTGACGTGCAGGTTAGTTGCTAGTTCTTGTTTGGCAGTGGTACACTTCTGTTTAATATCCAACAGTTTTCTATGGTTTTGCAACATAATCATCAACTGATTTGCATGACTCAGGCATAAGTCAGGTAATACAGATGCATCCTTCAAGTTTTCAGCTCTCTTCTGATTAGCTAAAAATCCCTTTGAAAGAAAATATTTTAAAAGGTATTAACTTTGTTTCATGAGAAACATGAACATTCACTTAGGAGAAATATCTTTATATTAAACAAGAACTGTCCTACTTTTTTTATTGATTTCAGAGAGAGGAAGGGAGAGGGAGAGAGAGAAACAAACATCAATGACGGGAGTCAATGACCAGCTACCTCTGCACGCCACAGACTGGAGATCAAGCTGGCAACCCAGGCATGTGCCCTGACTGGAAATAGAATGGTGACCTCCAGATTCATAGGTCAACACGCAACCTCTGAGCCACGCTGAGCAGGCAGAACTGTCCTACTTTCAAACAAGATTTTAAAATCTACTTTTTTGAATGTGTTACCTGTGGTCAAAACAAAAGATTAAGTTTTCAAGAAATCTATACTCATCTAATTCTATTCCATTGTCATGCTAAAAAAAAGAGCAAAACCCAGGAAGGTAAAGTAACTTAATTCAAAGGTACATTTAATGGCTAAATGAGAACTAGAAACTGTGTTTCTAGACTCCTACTACACATGGGTCAGTAAGAGCATGATATTAAATGAAACGTGGTCAATAATTCAAAGCCTTTAAAAAGAGGAACTGATTTAATCTTGACCAATATTTAATCCTATATTGTATACTTCCCTAAATAAAAAAAAAATCAATTAACTGCACTTTTTATTGAAAAGGCATCCCTCTTAGTGTTTCTGGACTACATTTTGTTCCAATAACATATACATATTTTGTCCTGTCTTTACAGCAGTGACTGAACTGTACAATTTTACAGCACATTTTATTATTTGGTGGGAAAAAATAGGCGTTTTCTTAGCTATTCTTATTCATTTATTTTCATACGTGAATTCTACATCATTTTGTTAAGTAGGGAACGGACTGTCTTTAGGCTATAAATTATTTAGGCAGATGTGCCATATTTAAAAGCCTTCTTTTGTTCACAAAACCAGCCAAATGAAAATCCAACAGCAAACACTTATAAAAATGTCCAAAGAGGTTATAATCTTTTGATAGCCTGTTGATGAGGTTATTACTAACGTGTTTTTATTGTGTTTATAGGTGTTCTTTTCCTATTCTACTTACTAAGTGATTGAATTGTTACCGAGGCTTTGGGATTTGCACATCCATCCGACTGCTGTACTTGCTGTTATAAATAACTATCCTTCTAGGAAATGAACCACATTGATCAGTAAAGGACAGCAAGTGTGTCTTCCTAATTTCTAGTAGTTGTCACTCTCTCTCCATTGCATGTTTTTCTAAATATCATGAAAACATTTCAATTTAAATGATGTGTATTTAAAATTAAGTCAAAACAGTTTATATGTAAAAATAAGACAATGTCAATAGTAACTTTATCTTACTTTCCTTTCAATATGGAATATACTCAACTGTGGGCTTACTTTTTCTGTAACTCAATCCATTTAAAAATCTTGGCAGATTGCATTAAATTAGACCTAAACGCCTAAGTATTAGTAAATTCTTTAAGATTTCATATATTCCTCCTGTCCTTTACAAATTTCTTTTTTTTTTTTTTTTAGTTTTTGAGAGGGGACCAGGAGGTATTCAAATGTTTAGTACAGTGACTGCTTTACATGTCCTTTCAACACGTATTTTCCCCCAGCTGCTCACAGCATTTTCATGGCTTATCTCCCGTTGTCATCTAAAACAGCCTAAGCTCAATTTGCTTTATCAAACTGAAACACTAAGAACATGAGTTCTTTATTACATGGAAACAGTGATGCTGCATTAGCAATATCCTAGGGTGAAGTGAAAACATGGTGCAGACCAAACTGAAACTGCACCTAAAACAACTGTACAGAAAAGTCTGAAATAGCACCTGAGCCAGTTCTTTCTGCTCGTTCACCAGGCGGCCACAGCTGGCAATCATCTGATCCAGGGCATACAGCCGGTCCTCCAGCCCTTTGATGGCTTTCATATTCTGATTATCAAGTTTGGCAATAGTCTGACGGCATTCTACTATAAATGGTCGAATAATCCTTGGATCGAGCTAAATGATAAGGACACACATATGAATCAAGTTTCATCAGAGAGTTTAAAGTATATTTCACACTATTTTTATACAACTTCAGAGAAAAACACAGAAATTTAAGTTTTATTTTCAGAAGGTCAAGAACTGGACAATTATGTTAATAAAACACAAGTACTACTGACTATATTGAAATACATAATTAAGAATATATATTTCCAGGAAATACACCTTTCAATCAATGCCACAAATTATTCAATTGTCAATATCCCAAAGAAAATGTTATTTTCAAGGTCTAATGAAGTAAAGCAGAGTTAAAAATAAACTAAACACACTCTTTGGTCATTGTCATCAATCCAACTTCTCTCTAACATAACATCCTCACACTTACCTCCCTCCTGGAGAGATCTCCGTTCTCCATCCCTAGCTCCTCAAGGAATCGGGTCAACTACAGTCTCCCCTCCCCTTGGAATACCTTACACGGGCCATCTTCTGCATGGACTCTCCATGAAAACCACCCGGCCAAAGATCACCAATGACCTTGTTTTACTTGAGGCTCTTAAGATAGTTAGCACTGAAGACCACCTTTCCCAGACCTCACAGCTTTGGGCATTACCTCAGGAGTTCCAGCACAGGGCCCTCCTCTGGCACCTTTTCCTACCTAATCCATGAATACAGATGAGCCAGGACTCGGCGCTTAGCCCACTTCTATCACTTCAGCGTAACTTCTACAGAGCTAACTCCCTACCCTTTTTGAATCCCTGATCCTCACATTTTCAGAGTATGTTTGACTGCTTGTTAGTATCTATGTGTGGATATCAACTGTATGTTCTACTACTAACTCACTCTAATTGTTTCCTGTGGAAACCCCTCAATGGCTTCCTTCTGCTCACAATGACATCCAAGACACAGAAAACAATACAGGCTTCCATGGGCTGACACCAGTAATTCCTTCCAGGCCTACCTTCTTTTGAAACGGAACTGCCTATTGTATTCAAACAAACTGAATATTTATATTCACAGAAATATAAAGATGACACCTCAATCATCCTGATCACAATTCTGTGGCTCACTTTCCACAATCAGAAATGAAATCTTTAGCTACTAAAATGTCAACCGTTCCTATAGGAACAGTAGTTTTCACTCGTTTTTGGCACTAATCTTTACATAATGTATCACATATTCCCCTGCCCTGGTAAGTGTCTTCATTGAAGCTTTCTTTGATGATTTAAATAATAAATGGTTAAAATGTCTTCTTTTGGGTGGTGGTTACTCCTGAATCAACTACTCATGAATGTGTACATTTCATTGAATGTAAATCATCCGTGTAAACAAAGAATACCAAAAAAAAAATTTTATCTTTCACACCAACACTCATTATTTCTACTTTAACATAATACCCATTCTCCCACTTTATAAAATATTTAGTATAAATAATATAATTTCAGATAGTTGAAAAGACAAGAAAAATCAAATTAATGTTACTCACCCTGCTCATTGAATCAAAGCACTTTCTAACTAATGATTCCACATCATTGGGTCTATCTTGAACATTTATCCAGTCCAACAAAGAAACATTAAAAAAAGGCAGCTCTCTGTCTTTAGCATCTGCTGGAGTTTCATCCTGCTGGGCAGGACTCTGACAAGATTCCCTCATTTCTCCTCCACTTTCAGCATCTGTAGTATCTGGGGCTACATGTTCCACTGACTTGTGAAATGAGGTTAATGAGGATTTATTAGTTGTCCCAGGCATATCGGGGGAGAGCACCAGTTCAGTGGAAGTTTTCAGCTCAGCCTTCTCTGAGCCTTCATGTTCAGGTAGAGAGTCCAGTCTTCCCAAACATTCCCTGTAACTATGTCTGGTCAGGCACTCCAACAGCGGGATCTTGGCCATTACTGAAACTGCAGTTCCTAAACTTAAAACACAAAAGTTCTGTCAGTAAATAACAGGACTACTCTAATTAGAGATTAGCATTTTATTATTACTCACAAATCTTACCACCTCTCTACTGTGTTATACATCCATAAAGTGCTGCAGGAGGTGTTGTAAGGGAAACCTAGTTAGAGAGAGGGAAGGGCACCAACACATTCAAGTTCTATTCTAAAGTAAAGTTTGCTAGGACACACTAAGCAAGTGAGCACTTGGTTTCTATCAAACCTTAAGATATAAGAAATTCAAATTTACCACAGCAGTCTTTAAGTCAATCAAGTATTTTTGATATACTGAAAGCACAGGATAAAATTAACAATCTTAATAAAGATTATAAATGAAAGCCAGAACACAATGGTTATTTTCTACCTTAGCAAGCCTACAGCAGATGGCCACTTAAGAAAATTACATTTTCCTTGGTTAGTTAATGTTTGAAAATTTTTCCATTTGCATTAGATGTGTCATTTTTTGATGTTACCTTTACTTTATTGGAAAGTTGGTAGCTAGGTGAGAGCATGCAAAGATTCTTGGGTTTGTGAAATATTTCAAAAGTATTTTAAGCCTTTTACACAAAGAAAACAACACATGAAAAAGAAATGTGGGAGATGTGTAATATATGTGGTAAAACCAATCATAACTTTAGAGTTTATGAAAGTCATCATAAAAGTCTCAAAAAATGAACTTTGATTAATATACGGCCTACTTGAAACATTATTAATTACTGAAACTACTGATAAACGGCAAAGATATTTTAAACATCTTATTATCCATTTTAATGGCACACATACTGAGTAAGTTTTGACTTGATGTCCTCTATGGATTGCAGATAATTGGAATAAATATTTTCAAACTTGAAGAGCAGCTTTTGGTAGGAGTTTGAGCAGTCCTCCAGGTTGGCCATGATGGCAGCCCAGCCTTGGTGTTGAAGGTGTTCATCATGGACCAGACTTTCACAGAAGGAGCTAAGTTTCTTGGCAACTTCATACATTTCCTATGTCAAAAATATGAAACAATAAAAGAAGGTAGCGTTTCTGTGCACGTTTCCACGCATGTACTTACGTGGGTGCGTGCATGTGCCCTGAACACATTTTAAAGAGGGCATGTTAAGGGAATGCTTTAGTTCGTCTCATTTGTGCCTGCCCGTTGCTATGACAGTGGAGGAAGATAAACACCCGACTCATTGCTGCTGGGAGTCTATACTGGTAAAGCATCTACAGAGGGCAATAACTATCAAAAGTAAAATGCTATCTACTGCTTGGCAAAGTGGTTCATCTAGGGATTTATCCAGTAAGATCTTAAACAAATAAAGAATCGTCAAAGGTTCTTTATTTCAATACTATGAAACGAAATGCAAAACACCTCAATGTCTATCAAAATTTACACCAATACAATGAAATTTATGTAGCATAAAATGAAGTATTTTTATATATAAGGCTATGAAAAGATCAACATACAGTATTAAATTCAAAAGGCAAGGTGCTGAATTCATAAAGTAATTTTTTTAAAAATTGATTTTATAGAGGGAAGAAGGGAGGGAGGGAGAGAAAGGGAGAGAGAGAGAGAGAGAGAAAGAGAGAAAGAGAAAAAGAGAAAAGAAGAGAAATATCAACCCACAATCTAGGTATGAAACCTGGCCAGGAATTGAACCTATAACCTTCTGGTGCATAGGATGACACTCCAAACACCTGAGCCACACGGGCCAGGGCACCTATCTTTATACATCACATAAAAAATCAATTACAAGTTTTCTACAGATATAAATAAATGTGGCTCAGTTGTTTGGAATGTCATCCTGTACACCAGAAGGTGGGGGGTCCCATTCCAGGTCAGGGCACATACCCAGGTTTCAGGTTCAATCCCCAGTCAGGGTGCATGCAGGAGGCAACCAATCAATGTTTCTCTCTACATATCTCCTCCTTCCTCTCTCTCTCTAAAAAAATCAATTAAAATAAGTATTAAAAGGTAAATACTGTTGGTGGATTTTAAACGAACATTTTCTCATGTCTGAAGGTAAAATGTGTCTTACTACTGATAGCTTCGAGTCAACATTATAGTCAAGTACTAGGCAAGTAAAAAAAGAAAACCAATGACTGGCAAACAACCCATGAAGACTACAATACAAAAGGTATGTACTGAAAAGCAACTTGGGCCTGGCTGGTGTGGCTCAGCAGTTAAGCATCAACCTGGGATCCAGGAGATGGTGGTTCAGTTCCCGGTCAGGGCACATGCCTGGGTTGTGGCTTGACCCCCAGTCGGGGACGTGCAGGAGGCAGCGATCAATGACTGACTCTCTCTCTCTCTCTCTCTCTCTCTCTCTCTCCATCGATGTTTCTCTCTCCCTCCCTCTCCCTTCCTCTCTCTGAAATCAATAAAGATATATTAAAAAAAAAGAAAGAAAAGCAACCTGGTTTTCCTCCAGGACCTAAATAAGGATAGGGGAAAAAGAATCACATTTTTAATAGTTACTTAAGCTCTCTTTGTTTATGTCTATTTTAACATAGGTACTTTGTTGATTAAAGCAGTGTTCAGAAGTCATTATCTGCATACCATATTTAGGAAAGAAGTTGAACAAATCACAGTTAAGACCATGTTCCACTCTAAGATCTTGTCACTGTTTGACAATGTACAATGACTAACAATGTACCGTCCTGAAATTTAAATACCAGACACACTGACCACAAAATACGTATCGTTAAAAGCTTGTTATTTTTCACATTTTTTGAACATTTCCTCTGTAACTTAGAATACTTTGCTATTTAGATTTGAATGCTTTTAGGAGTAATAAATTTGTTAGAATGTTCCGAAAATATACCAAGTGTATGTGTAAGACTTCATTGTGTTACATGCACCAGTTTTAATTTTAAACTGTACTAGATGTGTCATTACATCTCAGAAAGCACTGATATCTCACCACCGCAAGCTGTGTCCTGGAAGCAACAGTGTGAAAGACCGCAGGCATCATAAGCGACTCTTCCACTTTTATTTCCATGTCATTTTCTGTCGAAAAGGTAGTTTTAGGAATAGCAGGTGGAAGTTCACATAAGATCATTTCTTTGTTAAAAAGAAATATTGGATTTGTGTCCTATGAAAGTAAAAATGCAAAAAAAAACAGTGAAGTAAAATGTTACAAATACTGACCATGCACACTGCCCTCAACACAGGAGGCAGATACACCTTACTTCTGAAGGCTGGGCCCAGCCCCGCCTGCCGTGAAGCTGAGCACGCTGGGCGCCAGGCCAGGACACCTACCGTCCCCGCGCTGTAGGTGCACACTCTTCTGTCCGCAGCCATGCACTCGCCGCCGTTGACTACCAGCACCTGGTGCTGCATAGCGATCTTGTACTTGCTGTGGATGGCATGCTTAAGGTCTGTAACACTGCAACAAGGGAAGGCACCCGTTACTTTGACAAGCATTTTTATTATCAAGGTAGCACTACGTACAAATATCTGACAGATTAAGGAATTCTACTCCTTAGATTTTCCACCAAAACAAAAGAAAAAAATATAAGCGCCTTTATCTCTGGAGCTGGGTTTCATAACTAACTGGCTGGTCTTAGGTGAATAAGTCAACCATGTGCCACATCTAAAAGGGAGTCTATCAAACACAGGCAGTGGACATATTTATTTTTGTGCTCTTTACATAATGTAGCAAAGGAACATGTTCAAATTAGCATCAGGTCTGTTAAAATCCTCAGAACACAGGATGTGTGTTAAAAATCTCCACATCACATTACACTATATATTAAATCTAAATTATATGAAAACTGTTTCCTTGTCCTATCTTTCAAAAAAACCATTGCTTTACAAGTAAAATAGTATTGCATAAAACTAGAATAATAACAGGAGAATAAACTCTGTTTCCTGTACTCAGAACTGTAGCCTACTTCTGCCCCGCCCCGCATTTGGTATTTCTATTCCCTTCCTGTATGGCCTCCAGGCACATCTTTCCTCACCCGAAACCTCTCCCCAGTTTTTACAGATATAAGAGGGCATTTATTACTCAAATACTTGAAACCCCTCACAGCTGGAGAATTATTAGAACTGTGAGTCCCACTAATTTGGCTAAAGTCAACTACTATCTTTATTAATACAAGAGAATTTTTTAAAAAATCACTAAAAACCACGGGACTGCCCAGCTGGGCCTGGCTCAGCGGTTGAGCATCGACCTAGGATCCAGGAGATCGCAGTTCGATTCCCAGTCAGGGCACATGCCCGGGTTGCGGGCTGGATCCCCCTCACTGGGGATCGTGCAGGAGGCAGCCGATCAATGATGACTCTCTCATCATTGATGTTTCTATCTCCCTCCCTCCCTCTCCCTTCCTCTTCTGAAATCAATAAAGATATATTTAAAAAAAAAACAAAAACAGATAAAAAACCACGGACTGACAGATGTTGCTTTCTATAGCTGGCAGTAACCCCAAGCTGTGTCCTGCGACACTTGGACTAGGAATCAGCTATGAAATCTTATTCCTAGTTGACAGCTCTCGTTTGAAACCAGTATGTTCCTGGGTGAGTTGTTCTTGTGCATAATTTAGTCACATGACCAGAGTAAAGCACAACTTAATGATTTCAACTTCAGCATTTGGAGAAAGGTAACAACATGCTGGGATGAAATACTGTATTTAAGACTTGCTGTATCACTACTCTTAATAACAAAGGAATAGTTTTCACAACATCAAATTGTTTCCTGTCACTTTTTGCTGCACAAAATGCCAAGCTGTGAGAACAAATGAAATGCGGCTCACGTTTGCACTGTAAGTTCAGTGTCAAATGTTAGGGTGGTTCCGGTGTTAACCAGAAATACATATAACTTCATGGTGACTTCTCTGGGCTTGTAACTCACACTCGGATACGGTCACTAAAAGAAAGAGACAAGAAAAGTGGTCAAATTTAAAAACGCACACGAATACCCTCACGTAAAGCACAGCACAGTTGTACTTCATAAATAACAAACGACACAGGTTTTTATGTTCACAGTGGCTACTGGACAATTCAGTCAATTTGCTGCTTAAAAACAAATAAATAGTAATGAGAGAAGTGAAAAGCATAACTGTTTTACCATTAAAAAGTAATTTGAAGAGGCAAGTGGTTAAACGCTACGTGGATATGTCACTCTGATCTACACTAAGAGTAAAACAACAAAGAACAAAAATTTGGTCACACATCTAACTCCACTTATTTAAAATAACTTTGCCATTAACTATTTGTTGACGTCAAAACCTCATATATAAAATAAAGGGACAGATTTCAACATCTAGCTCTTTTTTTTTTTAAAACTGGAGGTAAAATTCCCTAAGATTAAAGAATGTGGTGAAAGACGATACATTCCCAGAAACTAGTTAAGTGCCTTTATATTCTTTCCACACCACCTTCAGAGTAAAATTATCAGGAAAGAAAGAAAAGGCAAATAAGTTTTTAACATTCATGATTTCCAAATTAATTATTTTAAATGCCTGAGATCTATTATAAATCATTAAAAACTCTATTACAGAGGTAGGAACTGTGACTTACCGTCAGGCACTGTGGAAAGGACGACCACCTTCCTTAAAAAGCAGATTAAAACTGGCTTGTGTTTGCTTTGCTTGATATTGGCAACTGAATGGCATTACTGGTTAAACTCAGTGAACTGAAAAAGAAAATATCTGGATTATCACAGGGAGAAACAGTTCAGTATGTGACAATCATGTGGTTACTGTTCTCTTCCTTTTAAAATTACCTTCTCAAACAGAAATCTCAACTCAGACTTTTCCCACCCGCACACTCACTGAGAGCACAAGCATGGGACCTGGACCCACACCTCTCCATTAGGAGTTATCAAACCAAAGGTCTCCAAAGAACTCCCCCAGACTGCTGAGCAGTACGGCCACTTCTCATTCCTTCAAGCAGAGTGGTAAAGGAGCCCGGGTGACCCCGACCCCAGTGCTTGTGCCTGATCTTGAACAAGTAACTGAACTATTCCAGTTTCTTCTTTTGTAAAATAGGAATTAAAATGGTACCTTGGAGAGCCCCTCCACCTGCAGTTATCCACCCTCTAGTGAAGTCCTATCCTCCCCCCCCCCC